TGAGTTTAAGTAAGAGCCTCTAGTGGGGGACAACATCAAAAGCCTTTTGGAAATCTAAGTAGATGACATCATAGGCCTTCTTATCATCAACTTCGTGAGTAGCTTCCTCAAAATTTGTTAAACAGGATCTACCTCTCCTAAATCCATGCTGGCTATCCCTCAAAATGTTATTTGAGTCCAGGTAATCTACCATTTTCTCTTTGATTATATCCTCCATAACTTTACCAGTTATACAAGTTAGACTGATTGGCCTATAGTTTGACACAGAGATACACAATAACTCATTTTTTTTAACAGAGGATGATATTACAAAGATAGTGGAAGAGAGCGGAGGCTGACAGAATAAGACGACAGAATAAGCAACAGTTGAAAATGAGGCAGAAGAGGCACAATGGACACAAATTCATCATTACTTAAGGGTAGTGGTGACTGTAGACCCAGTTGAATCAAACTCTCGGTTCAGCTTGGAATAGTCAATAGTGGAGGAAGCTCCCCTCTCCAAGTTGGCAAAGAAATTAGCCTTCTCTTTCTCCTCGTCCAGTGTGTCCAGGCCAAAGCCTGTAACGTTTGGTCCTGCTCCAGATGCCGCCACCGATTCTGAGTCTACACACAATAAGACATATCAATTAACGATGCACAGTGCAGACTGATGTACTTCATCCTGATGTACTTCATTCTGATGTACTTCATCCTGATGCCTTTTGGGTATTTTAGCATTGAATACCAATCGTGATCAATCCCAGAACAACTGAGAACATCTTGGTATTCCACTGGTGGAACTGGAGGAGGTGGTTGGTTAGAGAGAAGTTTGGGCATCACTGCTTAGACTGCTGCCCACGTGACCCGACCCCGGATAAGCGACTGAAAATGGATGGATGTATTATTACTGGTAATGCTAGTAGTTATGTAAATATCACTACTGTATTACTATAATGTTTCCCCTGAGGTTCTCTAGCCCGATAACGAAGAACAGGAAATGTTCAATCAATCTTTGTTTGTTGGTATATATCCTTTACCATTTAATTTATGTATTCATAGGTAAACATTAAACTTTAGTCTTGCTGCCAGCAATCGCGTTTGACCTGCATTATGTGGCTTCGATCATCTTTTTTTGCAGCTTTTTTTTTTTTTCTTCCTTTTTTCCAGTTGGCTCATTGCTGTTCAATGTCTTTCTGTGTACCCCATTTTATGCATCTCTCCCTTGCCAGTCCATTTTTTTTCTGTTATGCACACCCACACAAGTACACACGCGCACACACACACAAACTCACACCTTACAAGAAAACATACTAACATACTCAGCCCCTCTCTTAGAAAACCACCACTTATATTATGTTCTCTCTCAACTTTGTAACTTAGAATATCCGTGCTGTTGGCTTCCAGGAAAAAAATAATTAGTCCTTCATGACCTGTCCAGTTTATCTGCAGATACATGCACATCTCAATAAATCCGATCCTTCAGAATTTAATTCACCTCAGTAGTCACATATTTTCATCCTATCACAAAACTAAAAGGGACTTATGCATTCTAATTAATAATTGCCTCCTATTTAATCTCAATTTCTCTACTGTCAATCATGAAGGATGCTACATAATTTCAAATATTACAATCGGTAATATTTACGGCTCTAACGCCGATAACCCAACATTCTTCCACAACTTTTTTGATACACACTAACTTTTCTCATTCTCCCATTATATTAGCAGCAGAAAATAAACCAAAATGTGATATTGTCTCTTTTCTCAATAGCATCGGTCTTCTACAACTTACTGAGGAACAAATCAACACACTTGACTCCCCTATCACAGTTAATGTTTTGTTCATTGCTAATAATAAAGCAGGATGAATTTAATCAGACTTCAATACTTTCCCCTCACATGAATACTGTCTCAATTTGTCTTCTCTTGAAAAACAAGAGACCCAAGTTTACCATTCAGTTGTCGCCCGCATTCACTCATTAAAATGGACATTAAGATTATCAGTAAAATTATTGCAACCAGGCAACAGAAACTTACCCCTTTCATAATCCATCCAGATGAGACAAGCTTTATTAACAAGATATGCTTACAATAATACACAGATGATTAAATGTCATGCACATAATTGCGATTCATGTAGTAATTGTCTTTTTCTGTTCATTTTATAACACCATCAGCCTAAAGCATTTAATACATATACACCTTATGAAGAATTGAATATTGGAACATATAAACAAAAACTGCATTCGCCTTTTAAGCTTTGTAAACAAAAATTGTGCAGGGCAGATACATTATCTCGAAGGCATTCAACTTCTTATTTGTTAAACAATTAGTGCTGTCAATATCCGACCCATACCACCAAATTATGGGGTGGATACTTCAACCCCCCCAATGCTCAACCCAAAGTTATGTCCTTAGTACCACCTACCCAATTTTACTTTGCACGTCTTAACCACCTGATCCGTTCATCCTACCATTTTATGGCAAACCAAATTGTCTACATTTACAGCAAACTAAGCCAGATAACTTGTCAGATTTTAAGGTAAGTTATCAGGCTAAGCAAGAAATTCGGCCTTGTCATATGTGATCCAATCGCTTGGAATTAATGATTCCATTGACTTAAAAAAAGCAATCCATTTTAAGTGTTTACTCAGGTCATCTATTTCATATTTTGGGATCAACATTATTACCTAAATATCACATCTGAAATGTTAGTTTCTTTTTCCAGTAGCTGAAATTGCTGCTATCCAGCGTCATGCTATTTTGGTATGCTTATAGCATTGGTTTACTCTAAAATGAAATATGGCATATTTCACTAATGTTTGGCATATTTTGTACAGTGGTACCTCGGTTCTCGAACTTAATCTGTTACGAACTCCGGATCGAATCCTAAAAAGTTCAAGTTCTGATCGAATTTTTCCCATAAGAAATAATGGAAAACCAATTAATTGGTCCCTGGCCCACCAAAATTACACCTAAATATGTTTTGTTTTTTTTAGCATTTAAACACAAAATGAACAGGATAAAACCAGAGCATTTTTTTCTTAATGGCTTCCAAAACGATAAAGATCTTATCCCAACATTACCCCTGTCCTGCCCCGATCATCCGCTCCTTCCGTGTGCCACGCCCCCTCGTTAACCTCATGTGGGATCCCCATGTGATCAGCTGTTTCTGGCTGTTGTCATTAGTCCTCTGTATTAAGCCCGCGTTTCAGTTTGTTTCCCCAGTCCGGTCATTGGATGAGTTTGACTTGCTTACAGCGCTGGCTTAAAGCAAGGCATTCTGATCCTGACACAATGCATTACAAATGCATTGCGACCTCTCACCTGGCTGCACAAACTGGAACTGCCTCCGTGACGACACAACTTTGCCCTTATTGGCTGAAGAGTTTAGTTACACGCATGATGTTTGTATCCCAGGCAGTTCCGATGCGTAATCTGCTATTTCTCCTGAATATCACGTAAAGCAGTGAGAACTGGTTTTCAGTTAATTTACCTGGTAAAATAAAGTTTAAACAAATGACATAAATGCTCTAACAGTACACATAAGTTAGTGGTTTGTTTGTTAGTTACTGTAATGTTGCGCTGCTTTATTTGGTTAATCGTCCAGTCTGCGAAGAAGG